ACCCCAGCCTCAACCTGCTGGACTCCGGCGATCCTTCTGCCTCAGCCTTCCAAGTAGTGGGAACTACAGGGGCATGCTACCATGCCCAGCTAATTTTTTATTTATTGTAGAGATGAGGTCTTGTCAAGTTGCCCAGGCTGGTCTCAGACCTGTGGGCTCAGGCAATCCACTCGCCTCGGCCTCCCAGAGTGCTGAGATTACAGGCTGAGCCACCGAGTCTGGCCAAAAAAATCAAAAAATTAGTCAGGCATGGTAGGGACACCTATAGTCCCAGCTACTCAGGAGGCTGAGGTGGAAGGATTGCCTGAGCCCAGGAGGTCAAGGCTGCAGTGAGCGATGATTATGCCACTGAACTCTAGCCTGGGTGACAGAGTGAGACCCAGACTCAAAGAAAAAGAGAAAAGGGGCCAACAAGAGCAAATGGAAAGCAGAAGTGTCTGTGGAAACCGAACACAGTTCCACGACATGGAGCAAAAGTCTCTGTGCAAGCTCCTTGGTTCTCCCTTCTCTTACAGAAGCTCTGCATCCCCGAAGTGAATTTACAGTCATGGATTTAGCCCTAGCCTTAAGCCCCCCACGGTGGGGAGACCCACAGGTGCAGCTTTCATGTCCTTTCCCGGTGCAGACGTTTGTGGGTCAGAACCAACCACAAGGAGACTCGGGTTTCAGTTTCACATCTGCCCCCCATGTGCAGCATGCCTTGGGTGGGCCATAGAAGCTTCTATTTGCTTCTCTGGACTGTTGTGAGACTAAGTTGACAGAAGTAGAGGTACTTTGAAAATTATGAGCCTGAGATATACACAGTCAGGCCAGAATCCCAGCTCCACTATTCTTGGCTGAATTACCCTGGGCAAATTGCTTACACACGTCTGTGCCTCTGTTTCCTCATCTGTGAAATGGGGCTAATAATAGTAGAAATGTGTTGATATTTGTAAATAACTTAGAACAGGGAGCAATACGTGATAGTTGTTATAATAGTAACAATAAAATATGAAAATGATGACAGTGCCTACCAAGGAGTGAATGCATTGGGCTGGAAGAAAGGAGACGCATGAGCTTGCCCCGTACAACAAATGGCTCCCATCTTCCTGGATAGGAGACTCTGTGTTACTTGTCTCTGATCTAGTCGTTGGCATTTATTCATCCATCTGTAGAACTTATTGAGTGCTACATGGCCCTGCATCGAGCACTCAGTGGGCCACAGGCAAGGGTGAAGCATCACTGATTCCTGCAAAGTGATGTGCGCCTATGAGTTTTTTTCTTTTTTTTTTTTAAGTTTTTTTCTTTAGCAGGGAACAGCTTCTAAAATGTAACCAGGTGCTGTGGCTCATGCCTGTAATCCCAGCACTTTGGGAAGTCGAGATGGGAAGACTGTCTGAGCCTAGGAGTTTGAGACCAGCCTGGGCAACATAGTGAGACATCATCTCTACGAAAAATCAAAAAACCAGCCGAGCATGGTGTTGTGTGCCTGTAGCCCCGCTACTTGGGTGACTGAGGTGGGAGGATTTCCTGAGCCCAGGAGGTCGAGGCTGCAGTAAATCATGATCGTGCTGCTGCACGGTAGCTTGGAAGACAGAGTGAGAGGGAGACTCCGTCTCATAATTCCACCCTGTGAAAAGTATGTTATAGTCTGTGTGAATACAAGAAAAATAACATTTGCCTTGGATGGTTAGAATGTCTTGGGAAGAATACAAGATACTGGCGACAGTGATGGTCTCAAGGGAGGGTACAGTGAGTGGACTTTTTCATTATAAACTCTGTTTCCTTTTATCTTATTTTTATTTATTTTTATTTTTTATTTTTAGTTGAAGTCTCACTCTGTCGCCTAGACTGGAGTGCAGTGGCACGCTCCCGGCCACCACAGCCTCTACCTGCTGGGCTCCGGCAATCCTTCCACCTCAGCCTTCCAAGTAACTGGAACTACAGGTGTGCGCTACCACGCCTGGCTAATTTTTGATTTATTGTAGAGATGAAATCTCACCAAGTTGGCCAGGCGGATCTCGAACCCGCAGTCTCAGGCCATCCACTTGCCTTGGCCTCCTTTTATTTATTTATTTATTTTTTGAGTTGGAGTCTCACTCTGTCACCCAGACTGGAGTGCAGTGGCCGCTCCCGGCCACCGCAGCCTCGACTTGCTGGGCTCCGGCTATCCTTCCACCTCAGCCTTCCAAGTAGCCGGAATTACAGGCATGCGCTACCACGCCCGGCTGATTTTTTGATTTATTGTAGAGATGAGGTCTCGCTGCCCAGGCGGGTCTCGAACCCGCGGGCTCAGGCAATCCACTCACCTCAGCCTCCCAAAGGCGCGGGATTACAGGCTGAGCCACCGAGCCCGGCTCCTTTTATTTTTAATTATAATTTTGCGACTATTTTTATTTACTTATTTTGTTATTATTATTATTATTTTGAGTTGAAGTCTCACTCTGTCACCCAGGCTAGAGTACAGTGGCATGCTCAAGGCCACCACAGCCTCGACCTGCTGGGTTCAGGTGATCCTTCTGCCTCAGCCTTCCAAGTAGTTGGAGCCACAGGTGTGTGCCACCACACCCAACTAATTTTTTTATTTATTGTAGAGATAAGGTCTCTCCAAGCTGGTCTTGAACCCCTTGGCTCAGGCAACCCTCTCACCTCTACCTCCAAAGTGCTGGGATTACAGGTGTAAGCCACCACGCCCAGCTATTATTATTATTATCATTACCATTATTTACAAAGACGAGGTCTCGCTATGTGGCCCAAGTTGGTCCTGAATTCCTGGTCTCAAGGAATTCTTCTGCCTCGGCCTCCCAAAGTGCTGGGATTACAGGCGTGAGCCTCTGCACCCAGCCATATTTCCTTTTAATGTTTTGAGCAATACGAATGAACTGCCTCTTCAAAAATTAATCACATTCCAGTTAAAACACAAAGATTCTCTTTTTTTTAAACCAAAAGATGCTTGCATTAAAATGTGTATTTCTGGCTTCTCTTGAAAAATGAGGCTCTCGGCAATGTGAGACCCACATTCCCTCATGGCAGGGTTGGCTGGAGCCCAGCAGGGGCCGCCCCTCTACACCGGGAACACAAGGCCCTGTTTGCCGCGGTCCTCACCTATTCTCCTGGCCTGACCAGCTTTACCTGCTTTTTAGTTGTTTGGACCTGTAAAGAGTCTTGTTCTGGAATCACTTTACACCTGTTCACCTCCTGTCTCTGATCTCTCCTTGCCCTTCTTCCCCAGGGTCAGAGCTCCTCATGCCCTATGATGGCGGTGGCCTCTGCAGACATAGATGTATACCTGTCCTAGGAGGTATGACAGTGCCTGGTTGTTGTCATCTACTATACTTGCACGAGGCCGCAACTTTTCAAATGAAATTTTATTTATTTAATTGTTAGAGACAGGGTCTTACTATGCTGCCCAGGCTGGAGTGCAGTGGCTATTCATAGGTGCAATCACAGCGCACCGCAGCCTCAAACTCCTGAGCTCAAGCTTCAACCTTATTCTCCTTGGTAGCTGAAATTACAGGCCTACAACAACAGACCTAGCAAGAAACTACTCTCTGTTTTCATTTTTTAAGTTGGGGTGTCACTCTGTTGCTCAGGCTGGAGTGCAGTGGCATGATCAGGGCTCACCTCAGCCTCAACCTCCTGGGCTCAGGCAATCCTCCCACTTCAGCCTCCTGAGTAGCTGGGACTACAGGTGCATGCCATTACACCGGTTAATTTTCGGATTTTCTGTAAAGACCAGGTCTTGGTATGTTGTCCAGACTGATCTTAAACTCCTAGCCTCAAGTGATCCTCCCAAAATGCTGGGATTACAGGCCTGAGCCACCGTGCTTGGCCTGAAAATTCTTTTTTGATAGCTTTATCTGAGTTGGAGGAAGCCCAATGACAGAACTGGAGGGGACCTTAGAGACCATCTAAAAAAGAGTCAAGAAAAACATTAATAAATGGGGAGAGGGAAAGACTTTTCAAACACCATAGACAGCAGAGCACCACACCTGTGTTTAGACTACATTATATGCAGTTATGTTTACATGTCAGAGACTAACCTGGACAGACACTTAAAACCTCATAGAATGGTTATGAGACTGGGAGGAAAACAATTTTGTCTACATACAGCAAGTCCTTTCAAGTTGTCTGCCTTTCAATGCCTTTGAGTTATTATAGAGGCTTAATTGACTTCCTTCCCCTCACCTCATGGAAAAAACAGTTTGCTTTTATTTATGTATTCATTTCAATACTCTTGATCTGTAAATGTGTGTTTTCAGATTCTCCTTTGATTCTAACATCTCTTTGATTCTAACATCTGCCTGGTTCTCTCACTGATTAAAGGGTAGAATGAAATCTTTAACATGTGTCTGTATTATATCTGTAGGTGAGTCATAATTTTACTTTTTTCTGAAACTTATCTTTGAACAATTATAGACTAACCTGGAAGGGTGCTTAAGAAATGGGTAAGTGATCTATCAGTTTGAAGAGGGAAGCCAGGTATTTGGGGGTAGGGGGAAAAGGAGACTTACTTTCTGGTGTTTTGTACTTTAAATTTTTATTTCTTCTTTTTTTTTAAATGTGAGTTGAGGTCTCACTCTGTCACCTAGACTGGAGTGCAGGGACATGTTCGTGGCCACCGTAACCTTGCCTGCTGGGCTTGAGCGATCCTTCCACCTCAGCCTTCCAAGTAGCTGGAACCATAGGTGTGTGTCACCACACCTGGCTATTTAAGTAGAGATGAGGTCTAACCAAGTTGCCCAGGTTGCTCTTGAACCCCTGGGCTCAGGCAATCCTCTAGCCTCCACCTCCCAAAGTGCTGGGATTACAGACATGAGCCACTGTGCCCAGCCTCCTCTCCATTTTTTTTCTTTTTTTTTTATAAAATAATTTTGGTGATGAGTCCATAGTGATAGTTTAAGAACATTAAGTAGATCAGTTAAGGCATTCTGGGTGAATATTATTTTTCTATTCTGATTACCCATGACTGAAAAACAAGCTATTTACTAGCAGTTTAACTGAATATAAAAAATGAATTGATTAGCACATGTAAAAAAGTCATAAAAATCATCATTTTAATTTCAAGCATATTAAATATATGCTAATTTTGTCATTCAAAGTGATACAGATTTTTCAGATCAATCTGGGCTTCGAGAATGTCAGCTCAATGGGTTGACCAGCCCAGAGAGGGTCTGCTTGAGGGGCTGGTGAACCTAGCCCCGGAAGTATCAGCTCCAATGGGCTGGCAAGCCAAGCCCTGAGAGTGTTGCTGGTTCGGTGGGCTGACAAGCCTAGCCTCTGGAGTGTCTCAGCTTCGGAGTCTCGCCCTCTCCCAGCAGCTCTCCCAGTTCTGCCAGCTCAGTCTGCTGGCAAGCCAGCCCCCAGGGTGCTTAGCTTTTCAGCTCCCAAGATCCTCTGCAGCTCTTCAGGTCAGGGTTCTTGTCTCATGCCCAGGAGGAATGAGGGACATGGACAGCCAGAAGGTGAGAAAGCAGGATTTACTAAGAGGACAGAAAAGCTCCCGCAGTGGGAGGGGACCCGAAGGGGTTGCTTCCTCTCCATTTTTAGCAAGGAAGGAGGAGGCTTCACCACAGAGATTTCAGCAGGCAGAATCACCTAGAATTTAGGAATACTGTTCTGTTTCCACTGGATTTATTTTATTTTATTTTATTTATTTTTGAGTTGGAGTCTCACTCTGTCACCCAGACTGG